ATGTGACTCTGTGAAGAGAGGACCTCCATCCTTTTTGTAGCCACCCTTTATGTACTGGAATACTATGATGAGGTCTTCTCACCCAGGTGCAGGAACTTTGCACTTGTCTGTTAAACTTCATACTGTTCTTGCTAGCCCACTGATGCCTGCTCAGCTGGTGTTACGAAAAAAATTCAGGAGCCGTAAGCTGGGGTGAGATAAGAAAGGGTTTAATTATGCCAAGGCAATAGATGTTACGACGCGCGCCGGGCTGTGCCCGGGATGTTACATTTATAACAATATTTGGCCAATCCTAAGTGTGTCCACCCTATAACTTTTGGCCTGGTCCACCCCCTGGCCCGCCTCTCGAAATTGGGTCTGGGGTGCTTTTTGGGACCCCCTCTTCATCATCTTCTTCATCTTCAGCGTACAGAGAGCAGGGTGACCCAGTTCTTTGACTCTGTCCTGCGGTTTAGGCCAAGATACAAGCGTTCTCCAAACAAGACAGGCATGCCTTGACTAAAAGACTAAACATTTTCTACTAGATATGGGGATAGGGTGATATAGGGAGTATGGAATGGGGTGAAAGGATTGAGGAATATAAACTAAGGGATACTACGGGGAGGAGGGAGAAAGGGGTTTATTTCTAAAATCTACTTCTATTACCTATAAAACTTGTAAGGCTTATAAAATTAGAAAAATGAAAAAACCTTAGGGGTTTAAGGCATCACCACTCTTCCAGCCTGTCCAGGTCTCTCTGTAAGATGGCTTTCCCTTTTGACATGTCCACTTCACCACACAGTTTGGCATCATCAGTAAGCTTGGAGAATAATGGCGATGAATGAATGGGACTGCACACACGATTCAGTTTCGAGATTTCTCCGCAGACCCTTCTCTGCGTTTCTCTTTTATTAACCTCTTCGGGTAAACAGCATCTGGTGTTGCCATTCAGTTAACTAGAATTCCCAGGATATTTGCTGACCTAATGTTTTGACTTCACACAATCATAATATCATCCTGTGACTGTTTTCAGTCACATATCATGCATACTTTTTAAAGTAGCTTTCTACTTTGTGAAACAGGAGCCAGGCCTAAAAGAGTTAACTGAGATATCTTGGCCTGCTAAGAAACCCAATACCTGTTTTGCTGGAAGAACATTTTCAGAGGACTGGTTAATATCATGTTCTGTTCTGCTCACTGGACCAAAGACCTTATTATAGAAAGGAGTAGTACACACAGAGTAATAAATTAGGTAAACTAGACGTTTGAATAAGATCTAGAAGGCCGAGAGCCAGGATTTTGCAATCTTGAAGAATTCAGGTCACCTAATTGAAGAGGTCAAATTGAGGAAGACGTCCATGGTGACCACCAGAGGGATGAAGGCTTGAGGAGAAGACCCCCACAGTAGAAGACTGCGCATGTCTAGAAAGACTCTGCCCAGAGACTAGCCTACTTATTAATATGCATAATAAATGATGTAACCATGTATCTAAAGTGTATAAAATGGTTTAGTTTTGCACTTGCAAGTCGAGCAAGTTTGTCCAGTGTGAGCTGGCTTGCTCCCAACGTTGAATAAACAAATACCTTGCTGCTTAAAGATAAAAAAAATGTCTCTGAGCAGTCTTTCGGGCTGATTTTTCGGATTCATTTGAGAACACAGCATTCTTCGTCAAAAGCTCAAGGCCTAAACACTCCCTTTTGGTCCTAATTAACTGAACAGCAGGTGCAGGCTGGCTCAGCTTGTTCCCACAGGAGAGGGTGCTTTCAATCTGATGCCTTAAGGTGTCGACGGAAAGGAATGCACTCCGATAGCAGGGAAAGGCACACGGCTGCTTTATTGCTCTCAAATGTTTCTTTTTATACTTTTTGTATACTATCATGCTACAACATAATTGGTTAAAAGTCTCTAGCATAATACACCGCACACACCCTCATTGGAGACACAGAAGACACTGTGCTCACTGTCATTGGTGACCTGAGGACACCGTGCACACCGTATTGGTGACATTATACACATCTTGATTGGCGACCTTTGGTCTCGGCTGCACCACGTCTGTTCCGTCCAGCATTGCAGTAAATATTCCCTTAGAGTTGTTTACATTCTTCTGCAACTTCAGAGCTGCAACTGCTCAATATTCAAGGCCTACCATCCAGTCATTTCCCACATTAAGGTCCATCTAGTTTTTTTATTTTTCTAATTTTTATAAGCTTTATAAGTAGTTATATATCAGAAGTAGATTTAGAAGCAGCAGCCCTTATTCCCTTACCCTTAGCACAGAAGCAACATAGATTTTCAACCCTATTACCCCATTCCATGCTCCCCATATCAATTCTACTCCTGGATTCCATTAGAAATGTTTAGTCTCTCTTTAAGATAGGTCTGTTCTGTTTAAGGACATCTAATCCTGGCCTGAACCACAAAAGTACAGTCAAGAACTGGGTGAATATATGCCCCCTGTACCCCGAAGAAGATGAAGATTGATGAAGAGAGGGTCCTGAAAAAGACTCTCGCCTCAATTCCCCAGGGGTGGGTCGAGGGTGGTCCAGGGCAAAAGCCAGTGGGTGGACAAAACCTCGTATTGGACAAGCAGTATTATAAATTGTACCATCTGTACAGAGGGGACGCGCACGTCTTGTAATCTTATGCCTTGGAGGCACTAATTAAAACCCTTTCGTTATCTCACCTTCAAAACTAAATTGCCTCGGAGTTTTTTCCTCCCTGAATTTTCTTTTAGGCATCAGCTGGTGGGCCCAAACGGGGAAAACCAGACCTGGACTTCTTCAGATTGAACATTACATCCTACAGGAATCCTAAAAGCTGGCATTTATTTAAGACAACTCCTGCACTGGTCTGAGAAAGCCAGCTCCCCAGAACCCCCCACAGAGGTGAGGTAAGAGAAAGTGGAAATAAGGGAAAAAGGTACCTTTTTGTTAGCAGCTGCGAAAGAGTTTTTGTGTTTCCCGGGAAGTTTGGAGGCAGTTGGACTGCCTAAATTCCAAACAGAGCAGTTTCGTTTCTCAGCCTTGGGCCGATGGGGTAGATATTCAGTAGATCAAGAGAGTCCTGTATCCTCCCCCTGCCAGGCTAAAGGCAGTAGATCAGAAGGAAGGGGTGAATGGAGGCAAGTCCTTGCTCAGGGCAACAGACAAAAGCCCTCCCTGCCCACCTCACCCTCCCAGGTGCCTCTGTACAATAGGTGTGAGGCTCTGAAGGGCAGTCAATAGATGATGAGGATGAAGGTTCCTCTCCACCAGAGGTGTTGCCAAGGCCAGAAAGGCCTACAGCTCATATGAAGACCAGTTCCACAAGGAATAAAAGAAGGGTTGTAGTGGTTGGCGATTCCCTTTTAAGGGGAACAGAGGGTCCAATATGCCAGAAGGACCCTTCTCTCAAGGAAGTTTGCTATCTCCCTGGGACCTGGGTTAAGGATGTCCTCAGGAAACCTCCTAGCCTGGTTTGGCCTTCAGACTATTACCTATTGCTGATTCTCCACATGGGTGGTGATAAAGTTGCAATGTGTGGTCCAAAGGCCATGAAAAGAGACTTTAAGTCCCTGGGATGGTTGGTGAGGGAATCAGGAGCACAGTTTATTTTTTCCTCTATTCTTCCAGGTGCAGGCAGTGACACTGAAAGAAACAGACTGACCCGGTCTATTAATACATGGCTCTGTGGTTGGTGTCACCACCAAAATTTTGGTTTCCTTGATAATGAGGTGGCCAACATGGCACCAGGCTTGCTGGATTCAGACAGGATCCACCTCTCTCAAAGGGGGAAGAGGTCTTTGGTCAAGGGTTAGTGAAACAGAGCAAGGATTTTTAGATGCTGAAATCCTGCTCTGAGAAGGAGTTCACAGATCCCACTCTGAGGAATGCTGCATTTAGGTTAAAATGACAGAGACAGAGAACATGGGTTATGAGATTAGTTAAGGGAGAGAGGGTACCAGGCTCCGAGAGGCCTGCCTGCATTTGGTATGCTCTATTCTAATGAAAGATAACAAAAAGGTTAGCCTAGTAGTCATAAATTAGATAGGATGGACATTTGGGGGGTGAAGAGCTGAGTAAAGGGGTTTTTAGTAAGACTTTAGCACATAGTCCTCAGGGGCTGCTGCAGGCGCTGCGCAGGACGCCGCGCCGGCCCGGGGGCTTCGCGCTGGCAGGAAACTTCCGCCCTGCGCGCACGGTTTTCGACCCCAGGCGAGGCCGCGGCAGGAGAAAGGAGAGAGAGGGGGAGCCTTGCCGGCGAGTACTGCACCCCCGTGGAAGATGAGAGTGCAGCTTCGGAGCACACAGAGGTTTGCCATTCCAGGTTTGGGGAGGGAGGGAGAGGGGGAGGGGGACGGAGCAGACGGAAGGGTGTTGAGCTGGCCGTGGGGGTCCTTCGACTGGTGGGTGGGAGAGCAGGGCTGTCCCGTATGAAACATCACATCACATGTGAGCAGTGCGCCTGGAATTTGTGGTAACACAGTGGGGGAAGGATAAGGTCTGGGTGGATAGAGGGTTCTTTTAGATTGATGGTGGTCCCGGCCAGGCTGGGGCCTTGTAAGGTACCCCAGCCTTGGATAGGTACGGGAGCCAGAATGGTTGGTCGGTTTGTTTGTTTGTTTATTTATTTATTTCTTTAGTTTTGGCTCTCCTGCGGCTACTGCCCAGGTTTGGCATGTTCTGGATATATTTGCTTTGCTCTGTTACACCCCGTAAGTGTGGGCAGGACAAAGGGTTGTTACTGGAAATGAAAGACTTGCCCAAATCGTTCTAACAGGAATGTAGCCTATGTACCCCTATGTGGTTGCGAGCTATGCTGGCGAGGGTTCATGCCTTCGGTAGGGTCGCCCATGCCAGACAGGTCAAAACCATAGGACCAGATAAACTACATCCTTGGGCAGGATGAGCTCATTAGCCTTCTGGCAGTCATCCTAGGAGAAGGACAACTCTCATCCCAAACCCGGGCAGATGGAGATCGCTTAGTCCTGTAAGGCCATCCATCTAAGAGAAGGTCACTCTAATCAAACCTACGTCCTGAGTGTTACAGAGCAATTTAAATTTAGTAGTAGAATGGCTAAGGCTTAGTAGGAGAGTAGGCCTAGAAAGCAACACTCCAAAGTAGTAAGTTAGCAACCTTGTTTGTGAGCATGGAATGTACTGAAGAAGTGGAAACAATAATCAAAGGATTTAGTCAAGCATGTATATAATGATTTGCTACCTTGGATGTGGTAAGGGTCTGTTAAACAGTTTCTAGGGGTAAGACAACCAAGGAAAATTAACAGTTAGAGTAGATGATTACCAATTGTTATCAGTATGAAATATGAGTTTGTGTGTAACTAGGTGTAACTGCTTTCATGTAGAAATTGCACGTAGACATGTTTGTGTGAGAGTATAAAAGCTGTACGAAAAATGAGGGTCTTGGGAATCCTGACTTGGGACGCTAGTCCTCAGGTTCCCGGGCCCCGAATAAAGCACCGCATAAACCGGCACTCAGTTGGTTTGTGTCTTTGTTACGGGCAACATGAGGACCTTGCTGCCACCGTCCAAGCTTGCTCGGCCCTGGCAGATGAACCTCAGGATTAAAGGGTGGGTTCAGTTCCGCGCATACTGCATCTCACCTAAAAAATCCATTGCGCAGGCTTGAAGGCTTTACCCACATGCAAAAAGTCCTGCAGCGACGGGCGAGGGTCGAAACGGTAGGTGAAAGATGCACTGGGAGTCGCAGACTCAACCCTGCATGCAGGCGGTTCAGGATATTGGTCATTTGAGACTGACGGAGATGAGAGTCTCTTGGGGCAGCACCCTGAACGTCCAAGCAGCCTTTTCAAGGACAGCACTGCTTGCTCCACTCGGAGAGGGGCCTAGAAAAGGTGGCCTAAACAAAGCTCATCTCCACCTTCACCCGGTTGGTTAAACGCAGACCAACGGGCATCTTCTTCCAATGCGGTCGCACAAAGAGCAAAAGACAAAGGCTTTCACCTGCCTACAAAGGTGTACCTAAATTAACTCTAGCATGCTGGAACATCAGAACCATGCTCGACTCTGCGAATAGCGGATGTCCTGAGCGACGTTCTGCCCTAATTGCCCATGAACTGGCTCGTCTCAACATCGACATTGCTGCTCTCAGTGAAGTTCGCCTTCACAAGGAAGGCAGCCTCAGAGAACATGGTGCCGGTTACACACTCTTTTGGTCAGGTAAGCCCAGAACCGAAAAACATCTCTCAGGTGTCGGCTTCATGATCAAAAACTCCATTGTCCCTAAACTCGAAAATCTGCCGACAGGTCACTCTGACCGCATTATCTCCCTACGCATTCCACTAAACAACAACCAACACGTTGTCATCTTCAGTATATATGCCCCAACTCTCCAAGCTGACTCTGCTGAAAAAGAAAAATTTTACACTGACCTGCGCTGCCTTACCCAAAAGGTGCCCGCAGATGATAAGATCATTATCCTTGGTGATTTCAACGCCAGAGTAGGTAAGAACTTTGAAGCCTGGAAAGGAGTATTAGGCAAGCATGGTGTTGGAAACTGCAACGATAATGGTGGACTTCTGCTAGAATTCTGTGCGGAGCAACAGCTCACCATCACTAATACTATCTTTCAGCAGAAAAATAGTCTGAAGACAACCTGGATGCACCCCAGGTCTAAGCATTGGCACCTCATTGATTATGTCTTGGTGCGACGGAGTGATGTCCGTGATGTCCTCCATACCCGCGTGATGCCCAGCGCAGAATGTCAAACAGACCATCGGCTTGTGCGCTGTAAACTCAACTTTTATCTCAAATTCAAACCCAAGAGGGGCAGTATCCCAAGGAGAAGACTCCAAGTTAACGATCTCCAATCAGCCACAGTAAGAGAAAGATTCCAGGCAAACCTTCAAACTAAGCTTGATAACCATTCCACAGATTCTGCAGATTCCTCTCCTGAAACAATTTGGCAGCATATTAAAAGTAGCATCCTGCAATCCTCTGAAGAATCCTTAGGGTTCTCCCTCAAGAAGAACAAGGACTGGTTTGATGAAAATAATCAAGAAATCCAGGAATTATTGAGGAAAAAGAGAACCGCCCACCAAGCACACCTTGCACTGCCATCCTGTCACGCAAGAAAAACAGCCTTTCGTCTTGCATGCAGCAAGCTCCAACAGAAACTCCGTGACATCCAGAACAAGTGGTGGACCGATCTAGCTGCAAAAACTCAACTATGTGCAGATACAGGGGATCACAAAGGATTCTATGAGGCCCTGAAAACAGCATACGGGCCTACGTACCAAGTCCAAAGCCCACTACTCAGTGCAGATGGTCAAACGCTTCTGACAGATAAAACATCCATCCTGAATAGATGGTCTGAACACTTTCAGACTCTTTTCAGTACCAACCGTGTAGTCCAAGACTCAGCAATTCAGTCCATCACACAACAACCGGTGAAATACGAATTGGATGCTGCCCCCACTTTAGGAGAAACCCTCAAGGCCATACAGCAGGTGAAAATTGGCAAGGCAGCTGGGGCTGATGGAATCCCACCCGAAGTCTGGAAACATGGGGGCCTTGCACTCCATGCTAAATTTCATGAGCTTGTGGTGCGCTGTTGGGAACTAGGCGAACTACCATCAGACCTTCGTGATGCAGTCATCATCACCTTGTATAAGAAGAAAGGTACTAAATCAGACTGCTCAAATTACCGTGGTATTACTCTGCTCTCCATTGCTGGCAAAATCTTGGCAAGAATACTTCTGAACAGACTAATACCCGCTATAGCAGAAGAAACTCTACCTGAAAGTCAGTGTGGCTTCAGAGCCAACAGGAGTACCACAGACATGATATTTGTTCTCAGACAACTGCAAGAAAAGTGTAGGGAACAGAACAAAGGTCTCTATGTAACCTTTGTCGACCTCACCAAGGCTTTCGATACTGTGAGCAGAAAAGGTCTGTGGCAGATTTTGGAACGTTTAGGTTGTCCCCCCAAGTTCCTTAAAATGATCATCTCACTTCATGAGGATCAGCACGGCCAAGTCAGATATGGCAACACACTTTCTGAGCCCTTTCTAATAAAGAATGGTGTGAAACAAGGCTGCGTTCTCGCTCCTACCCTATTCACAGTCTTTTTCAGTATGATGTTCCAAAGGGCCATGGCAGACCTCGATGATCAGGACGGTATCTACATTCGATATCGTACTGATGGAAGCCTATTCAACCTAAGGCGACTGAAGGCCCATACTAAGACCCTAAACCATCTTGTCCGGGAGCTGCTTTATGCTGATGACGCTGCCCTTGTTGCCCACACAGAAGCAGCCCTGCAGCGTTTAACATCCTGCTTTGCAGATGCTGCTGAGCTCTTTGGGCTGGAAGTCAGCTTAAAGAAGACAGAAGTTCTCCATCAGCCTGCACCTCAGGAAGTCTTCCATCATCCCCACATCACCATCGGCCAATCAGAACTCAAATCAGTCCAACAGTTTAATTACCTAGGCAGCCTCATCTCCTCAGATGGTAAGATAGATGGGGAGATAGACAATAGGTTAGCGAAGGCATATAGTGCTTTTGGAAAACTCCATAAACGAGTATGGCGTAATAAACACTTGAAGAAAAGTACCAAGATCAGTGTTTACAGAGCCATAGTGCTGTCTACTCTTTTATATGGTTCCGAATCATGGGTCATCTACCGCCACCACCTGCGTCTCCTAGAACGCTTCCATCAACGCTGCCTCCGTACAATCCTTAACATCCACTGGTCAGACTATGTGACCAATACATCTGTTCTCGAACAGGCAGCAATTACAAGTATTGAGGCCATGTTACTGAGAACGCAACTGCGATGGGCAGGGCATGTCTCCAGGATGAAGGACCACCGCCTCCCTAAGATCCTGCTTTATGGTGAACTTGCCTCTGGCTGCCGCAAGAGAGGAGTGCCGAAGAAAAGATACAAGGACTCCCTGAAGCAACAACTCAGCCTTGGGCATATTGATCACCATAACTGGTCCACTCTGGCCTCTAATCGGGAGGCCTGGAGACACACCATTTATAACGCTGCTGATGCTTTTGAGAAAGCACACAGATTCACCCTTGAGGAGAAAAGACAACGCAGAAAGAATCGAGCCTTGCAGAATATACCCTCTAAGGAGTCTTTCTGCTGTGTCTTTTGCAACCGGACTTGCCTTTCTCGTATTGGCCTCTTTAGCCACCAACGCGCTTGCAAGAAAAGTGGGTAGAGCCCTTCCCAAATCTTCGTTCGCGAAGCCTAGCCATGATGAGCACATAGTCAGGAAAATTTGAAAAGTTCACGATGAAGAAGAGTAAAAGAAATGACCGTCATGAGGGTGAAGAAACAGGAACGACCCCCAGGAATCTCCCCAAAAGGATGACTTCGCCTCAAGCTCTGCCTGAACCCCACCTAATATGAATATTATAACTAGATGATGTAATTTTAATGATTATTCACGTAAAATATTGTAATCCCTCACCAAAACTGTATAAATTACCTGACTTTTCACTGAGAACTTCGGAGCTAGTTTGTGCAGCGATAGCTGCCTAGCACCCCAATGTTGCTCGAAATAAATACCTTTGCTGCTTAAAGACCAAATTTTGTCTCTGAGCAGTTATTTTATGCTGTTTTTGGCATCATTAGTGAGGCTTATTGACAGGACTTTAAACTAGATGGAGGAGGGGGACAACATCAGGTTTAATGGCGATAAGGTGTGGGATGACATGCAATCCCACTCATACCAGTTAGATGCCGGAGCCAGCAAGAGATGCCCAGACCCTGGAGAGGGATTGCAGGTCAGCAGGAGAGCACCTGAAGGACAGCACCAAGGAATTCCAGCCACTCTAGACAGAAAGGCAACTTGATTGGGGGCCCAACTTAAGTGCCTCTATGCAAACACACGCAGCATGGGGAATAAACAGGAGGAACTAGAGACACGTGCACACCTGCAGAGCTGTGATCTTATTAGCATCTGTCTTAGTTTAACAAGATTACAACTTTGAAATTAGGAGGCTTCAAGTGAAAAGTGTAGAAAAGGGAAAAAAAACAAAACAGTTCTTTATTAACAAACCCGAATAAACAACAAATGGTGCAAATAAAACTTTCGAAAGAAACAAAACAAAGTCCCAATTCCCCAGGTGGGGGGGAGAAACCCACGGCAACGAGGGCAAATTGTCCTCAGCAGCTCAACAGCTGCTGGCAGCCAGGTGAGCGACCCGCAATGGGTCC